TACAACTATCTACTGGGGCTTTGGGGGGGGGGGGCGGGAAGGACACTACAAGGGTGCAGATACAGAGGGAATGCTGACAAGAGCACCAACAGAAATCTGTTAAAAAAATAAAAGACTAACACAATTGTTTCAAAGGCTCTCATTGCTTGAAAAATAGACTTGATAATTTGAAGTATCTTCTTTGTAATTTATTTTGATCCTTTTATCAGAGTGTAGGGTAGCTAGATTAGACATACTCCTGATACTTATCAGTAAACCCCGGGTATTTTTTTCCTAAGTATTTTAAATTTTATTTAATAACCTGATTCCTGTACTCATTTTTCATTAGTTTTTAACTCTATTATAATTTCAAAAATATAAATAAATAGAAGTTGATGCTAGCAGAAACTCTTCATTTTAAATTAGTATTTAAAAATCCTTGAACATTTGAATTTAATTTGTTTGTTCTGACTTCTAAGCTGAATGGAGGATAGTTTTACTGGGAGACACTGCAGTGAAATAGAAGGTAGTCTTTTTGCAAACAAAAATAACCTGAAACACAAAGAAACAATTACTGTCCAAAGCAGTGGAGCAACTTATCTATGGATGGAGTAATTAACAGTTTCTAGCTTTGAAGAAGATAGAAAAGTTAGGGAAATATGGAAGACGTTTTTGGCTAACAAAGATATTTTATATTAACCGCCTAATATAAATTACTGAAAATTCAGTATGAATACAAGAAAACTAAAATGTAGGTACTCAAAACACAATACTCAAAAACTTATTTTAAATATACCCTCTGAGGGCCGGCCCCGTGGCTTAGCGGTTAAGTGCGCGCGCTCCGCTGCTGGCGGCCCGGGGTTCAGATCCCGGGCGCGCACTGATGCACCGCTTCTCCGGCCATGGTGAGGCCGCGTCCCACATACAGAAACTAGAAGGATGTGCAGCTATGACATACAACTATCTACTGGGGCTTTGGGGGAAAAATAAATAAATAAATAAAAATTAAACATACCCTCTGAGAATTTGGAATTCGGTGATCAACAGAATTACTGGCATCTTGGAGAACTTTAGTGGAGGAATTAGTTTTGTATTTTTTCCCCTTCAATCTGTTGACAAAGAGCAGCTTTGAAGGTTTGGCAATAAGAGGTTTTTGTTTAGCAAGAATTTCACTGTTCCAGTTCTGTACCTATAAAATTATGAACATAAATGGAAAGCAGGACATGAAAAAAAAAAACAACAAAGCTCTCTCTGGTTTCCCATAATATTAACCTGCCACCTCCACTCATTTAGTATGGGCAGGGGGGCGCTTAGATCTCTTAATAAATTCCTTTTTGCCAGTATATCTCACTGATTTTCAGCAGCTTGTAACAAATGTATACTGTGGATTTCTCATTACCAAAACATTAAAATGGTGGCTTTTAAGAACTTAAGAATAAGAAAACAAAGTTTGCCAAAATCCCATAAAAAATAAAATTTGAATGGTCAGAGAAGGAGCCAAAGTTTTACTCTAGATGTGAGTTACTTAAAAATCTGGTACAACTGGAAATTTTGGATGTATGCAGAATTTTTAACCATAAAAATTAACATCTAAAACTCATACAGCAGTAGTAATTTTCTGTCGATAAAACTGTACTGTTTTCACTAACAGTACTAAATTCTCAATAGGCAAAACATCTAATCAGCAGTTTATATAAGTCTAGATCTGGTTTATATATACATAATGCCTCTAAATAACAGACTCAAAATAACAAATATTTGAGTGCAAAGGAAAAACATACAGTACATATAGTAGCTATGTGACATTTGCAGCTTTAACATCCACTCTTAAGTGTTTACAAGCAAGTCGAAAGGTCCATGTTATGTAGTAATTGGTCATTTGATGAGGCACATTTTTCCATAGGTACATCATACACAGTCAAATGCACAGATTTTAAGTGTGTAGTTGGAAGTTATATAACCTCTACCCCAATGAAGACAGATCATTTCCATCAATCCAGAATATTCCCCCATGAGGCACAAATTAGAATAACTCCTGCACTGAGGCTAATGTACCTGAGTGAAACAACTACCTAGTAAGTGAACCAAGCCAGCTCTCTCCTTCACAATGGAGCTGGATTTTTTTTTCTCTATTCCTTTGCTCATTTTCTCATACACGTTATATAAGGGGAAATTATTTACTAGAGTGGAATTCTTCAGGGTCTACTGATTCAAGAAAAAGTAAATGGCCCTTAATGTTAGAACATAAAACTGCATCTAAATCCCAAGTGGAAATGTGAAAAATTTTAAATGTTTCCTATGTAATTATCTGGACTTTTCAACAAAAACACTGAAGAATACAGACTGGAACAGTGTCTCCAAAACTATGAAGGAAAATTATTTCCAACCAATAATTCTATAGTCAGCAAAATTACCAATCAAATGTAAGAGTAGGAAAAAGGCAGTTTCAGACATCCAAGGTCTCAAAAGTTCCCTCCAACTGTACTCTTTCCCAAGAAGCATCTTAACCCAGAAGTCTCCCTTTTTCTTTATATATACTTCTTTACTTCGTTGTGAGTAATGAAATGATGAATTCTTTGACAACTTTATTATGAGGAAAAGAAACCAACACAAAGAACTAATTCCACTCAAACATATTTTAAATTAGAGATAAAACTTCCTCGTCATTTGGCTCTTGGAAGATTACAGGGTTGTGTCTGGTCAGCTTCTTAGGGAATTCACTGTTAGTACCATGAGGGAGGTAGGCACAAGGTAGCAAATTAATTTTGCTACTTATTAGCAGGTTCCTACAAGAAGAAGGAAAGGAGACCTAAATTGACTTACAAGTTTTTTGTGTTCTGGTGTTTTCTTTAAAAATAATTTGTAGATTTAACAGATTTGAGAACCACTCACAAGATAAGAGATGGATATTTTGGGGAAATCACAAAGTCCTTCTGAAGTTAACCAGAGTTTTTAAGCAACTCTGTAATTGTTTGGAATAAAAAATATTGGATATAAGTTCAAGTCAATTAGATGTTAGTCTTATGAAGACTGTTCACACAAAAAAGGTCAATATTCAAAAATTATATGCCTAGTATTATAACAATAGGGCAGAAGAATATTTAACAACATGGAAAAATGTTCTTGACATATTACTACATATTATAAAATAGTATCTATATTATGATAATATTCATACAGAAACACAAGATAAGTAAATACCAAAATATTAATTGTAGTTACCACTGGGAGGTGGGATTACTGCTAATTTTAATTTCCTTGTTGGAATTTTCTGAAGTTGTTATAATGAACATATTTTATAAAAGGTATTTTAAAAATACACATAAAGGAACAAGAGTCTACTTAAACAATGTAAAAATTAAGTTAAATGGAGGTGGAAGAAAGCAGCCTATATAAAGCCTATAAAAGCCTTCAATAACCTTTTTCCAGTTATAAAGTCCCTTCTCTGTTACTTAAAAAAAAAAAGCCTAGAGAAGATGCAACTTGAATAAGACGTTATTTCTTTATTAGTTAAAAAAGTGCTTTTCAAAAATGCAGCTAGAAAAACTAGCTTGATCATAAATATCTTTAATCTTGCCAATAATGTTGCTATTGTTTAGTTGGAAAAAAAAAGCTTCTTCTTTGATTTTCTTGATCTTCTTTTAATTAAAAAAAAAAGTAATACATGTACATGGTAAAATATTCAAACAGTTCAAACTGGTATATAAAGTAAGTATTTCTCCTAACTCGGACACCCAATCTTTTCCCCAGAGACAGTCGTGGTTAGCAAGTTTTTTACACATTCTTCCAGAAATGTTTTATGCATCTACAAAGGATATACACACATAAAACTTTTCTTAGACAGATGGCAGCATACCGTACACCTTCTTTTGGCATTGTACATTTTTCTGATTCTTTTTAAAGGAAAATTTTAAAGTGACACTGATATAGGACAAGTCTTATTTAAACTATTTCATTTAAGTTAAAAGTTACTAAAATATTTTATTATGACAGTTCAAGAAATTTAAAACATAAAAACTGCCAACCTTTTCTGGTGTTAACTTCATAAGTTCCATATTTTCCATACTGTGTCGGCGTCCAAACTTAGGGCGTGCACCTTCATAAAAAGAATTAATTCAAATAAACCAGGGAGACCTTAAGACTACAAATTCAGCATTACTACGTTATTCAATTTTAAAGTCTGTTACATAAATGCATATGGGAGGAGAAACATGTACAAACACGTATTCTTTTAGGAATAATAATTTTCCATACCAACTACATAAAAATAGAAGATACACTCCCTCTAAAATGCTTTGATGTAAGGAAGTTACATTTTGGTTGGAAACTAACTTTGGTTACTAACATTACCCCTTAATTTAGAAAAGGCATTTTATACTAACTGGTTTTATACTATCCACACAGTCTCTTAAAAAGAAAATAAAAAACCAAACAAACTATGCAGTGGTTTAAGTAAGTAAAAACATAAGGAAAAGGCTTTAGGCCTTCAATTTTGAGATTAGAATCAAAATAACATTCTCAGTACTATAATGTTACTCTTTTCTGAGTTATCCATTTCCATTTGAAGATCTCATTAGATGACAAATTTACTGCCAGTTGGGAAACAGGTTAAATAAAAAGGCCCTCAAAATTTTTTTTCAATAAAGTTATCAGTAAATATATACAAATTTTCATATCCATTCAATCTTTTAAAGATTAAGCAATATTTTAAAAGGCATAATATAAGGAATATATGATACCTAATACCCAGTTTAAGAAATAAACCATTACCAACACATTAACTCCCCCCATAATTTGCCTCTTCTTCCCTGCAACTTTTTATATTTTCATTACATATGTATATAGCTCTAAGCAATATAGCTTATATAACATTATATAAAATGGTCTCATTCTATATATATCGTCTAACTTGCTTCCTTTGAGCAACCCTACATTTGTGAGATTCATCCAAGTTGATATGTGTAGTTTAAATAATTTTCATTGCCATTTTAGGACTAGGCAATTATTTATCCATTCTACTGATGACTGATATTTAGGTTGCTTCCAATTTTTTGTTATCATAAGCAATACTACTACAAAAATTCTTGGAAATGGCTGTGTACATAAGCAAGCATTTCTTCCACAGTTTGGGTATCAGGGGTATATAACTGCGAGTTATATGTAACTGAGAGATGCTAGATCATATGGTTGGTACATCTTCAACTATACCAGAATGTTGCCAGACTGTTCTTTAGAGTACACCAATTTCTATTCCCATCAACATTGCATAAGAGTTTCCAATACCCACATCGTTTCAATACTGATATTATCAGACCTTTCAATTTCCGTTCACCTCACAGGTTTTCAATATTACCTCACTCTGGTTTTCCCTGATTAAATAAGTTAAATATCTTTTCAATATTTATGGGCTATTTGTGTTTCTTCTTCTGTTCATTGCTTTCGTGCATTTTTTAGTTAGGTTGTTTGTCTTGTTTTTAATTCATAGGAGTTCTTATACATTGAGGATGCAAGTCCTTTTTTTTTTTGAGGATGATTTGCCCTGAGCTAACATCTGTTGCCAATCTTCCTCTTTTTGCTTGAGGAAGAGTGGCCCTGAGCTAACATTTGTGCCCATCTTCCTCTATTTTGTATGTGGCTCACCACCACAGAATGGCTACCGACAAGTGGTGTCGGTCCAAGCCCGGGAAACCAAACCCGGGCTGCCAAAGCAGAGCACGCCAAACTTAACCACTAGGCCATGGGGCCAGCCCCCGACAAGTCCTTTTTTAATCATATGTGTAGCAAATGTCTTCTCAGTTTGTGTTTTATCTCCTTATGGTTTCTTTCAGTGAAATGAAGTTCTTAGTTTCAATGTCAATCTTTTCCTTAATGGTTTTGTTTTTGTGTCTTGAGAAATCCTTCCCCTCTCTGATAGCATGAAGATATTCTCCTTTATTTTCAGAGGCAGTACAGCATACTGATTGAGCATGGACTCTAAAGCCAGACCACTCACTCAATTGTGATATGACCTTGGGCAATTATCTCTCTGTGATTCAGTTTTCTCACCTGTAAAGAACAATACCTACTTCATATTGTATGATGACAAATGCATCATTATCTGTACAGAGGTCAGTACAATGCCAGGTTAAGTAGTAAGTATTCAGCAAGTGTTAGCTAGCATCACTATTATTATTGCTTTAAATCTGTCTTTCATATTTAAATCCTTAATCCATCAAGAATTTATTTTTGTGTGAGATATTAGTTTCCATATATGCAAGGAATATAAATATAGGCTCTATATTCCATTCCACTGGTCTATTGGTCCATCTCTATGCCAATAGCACACTGTCTTAATTACTGTAGCTTTATAATCTTTATATCTGTATAGAAAGCCCTTCTCATTTCTTATTTTTTATCAGGATTGTTTTGGCTTTGAGTTCTCAGACCTTTTTTCTTTCATATACATTCATGAATGACCTCATCAAGTTCCACAAAAGAACTGTCGTGATTTGTTTGGCAGTGCATTGAATTTATATCAATTTGAGGAGAACTGACATCCTTCATAATATTTAGTTTTCCATTCTTCATAATATTTAGTTTTCTAATACAACAATTACTGAGAGAAATATGTTAAAATTTCCCATTATGATTCTAGATTTTCCCATTTCTCCTTTTAGTTTGGTAGGTTTTACTTTATGTACATTGAAGCTTTGTTATTAGGCTTACTAGGCACATACAAATTTAAGGCTTTTATCTTCCTGGTGAATTGTTAACCTCCTTCATTTTTAACAAGATCTTTTGCCTTACAGTACATTTTATCTGATATTACAGCTATACCAGCTTTCTTTTGATCAGTTTTTCCGTGGTATATCTTTTTCTATCCTTTTACTTTCAGGCTTACTATATCCTTACATTTTAGATATTTCTATTTCTCTTGCATTTAGTCGGATTTTATTCTTTTTCCAATGTGATACTCCTGTCCATTAAATAGAACATTACATTTAATAGAGTTACTGATATATTTGGGTATTTGGCCTATTTCCTCCTTTACTAGGTTTATTGGTGAATTACATTAATTGATTTTCTAATATTCAATCCACTTGAATTCCTGCTTATTTGTTTTAAATACATTGCTGGATTTGGTTTGCTAATATTTTGTTTAGAATTTTTGCATCTATGTTCATGAGCAAAGACTGGCCTGTAATTTACCTTTCTTGTATTGTTCTTGTCTAGTTTGGATATAAAAGATTATACTGTTCTTAAAAAGACTGATAAAGTGTTCCCACTTTTCTAGTTATCTATAAAATTTTGTGGAAGGTTGGAATCGATTTTCTCGAATGTCTGGTAGATCTTACTTGTAAAACCATCTTGGCCAAGTATTTTCTTGGTGGGAAGATTTTAAATTACTAATCAAATTTCTTTATGGTTTTAGGCATTAGGGATGCTATTACATTACATTCTACCATTAGATTTTTCTATTTTTTTCTTGATTCAGTTTTGGTAAGTTTTTTTTTTTAAGAAATTGTCCATTTCTCCTAGGTTTTCAAATATTTTGTCATAAAACTAATCAGGATAATCTCTTATCTTTTACATCTCTGTTTGCATCTATATTATGTCCCCTTCTCTCTCTCTTTTTTCTTGAATAATCTTGCTGTAGATTTGTCAGTCTTTTTAAAGAACCAAAGTTGGGGTTTTTAAAATTCTCTCTATTGAATTGTTTTATTTTCATTAATTTCTGTTATTATTTCTTGCTTTCTACTTTCTTTTAAGTTTATTCTGTTTTCTTTTGTTTTTTACTTTTTAAAAGCTAGGTATTTAGCTCACTTTTCAGCCTTTTTCCTTTTTAAATATAACACAGTGTAAATTTTGCTCTAAGAACCAATGTAAGTCATATCCCACAAATTATAATTCAGTCCTAAATTATTTTCTAATTGTATTTAAGATTTCTTCTTCAACCCGTAAGTACTTAGAAGTGTTTTTAAGTTTTTAAATGAATATGTTTTATACATTATCTTCTTGTTAATTTCTAACTTAACTGCACTATGCTCAGGGCATGAAATCTATGTGACACAGATTCCTTCAAATTTGAGATGTGCTTAATATTAGCTTAGCATGTGGTCAAATTTTTGGAAATGTTTCATGAATGCTTTAAAAGAATGTAAACTGATTAATTTCTAGGTGCAGTATTTTCTCTATCCATTAAATCAGTGTTTTTCACTTTTTACCTGTGAAAAAGTTTTTCATTTTTTACCTTTTCACTTTTTACCCATATTAAGAAATACATTTTGCATTGCAATCCTGAACACACATACACAAATATATAACAAAATCTTCACATAACAGTACTTGCCCTTATCATGTATGACAACCCTGTTGTGTGTGTGTGTGTGCGCGTATTTAATGCTAGTTGCAACCTCTGAGATTGATTTTACAACTCAATTTGAAAAATACTGCATTAGATCAAGCCCATTAATTGCGCTGGTCAAATCCTCTATATTATTACTGATATCTGACTCCTGATTGATTTTTACCTATCAATTATTGAGAGGTAGGTTAAAATCACATTAAGACATAAATATCAGATAAGACATAGAAACTCTGAAGCCAGATTGACTGTGTTTAACTCTCATCTCTACCACTTACACAGGTAACCTTGGGAAATTTACTTAACTTCTCCTGCTTCCATTTCCCCATCTGTAAATTTGGGTAACAGAAACTTACCTCCTAGAGTTGTTACAATTAAATGAGTTAAAACAGGTAAAGCACTTAAAAACAGTGCCTGGCACAAAGTAATCACTCAATAAATGTTAGCTATTATTATTTTTTTCAAATCTGCCTGATTTTTGTTATTCCTTTGTTTCAATCCTGTTATTTCTGTAAACATTTAACCATAGTCATTTTACATTCTGTATCCGATAATTCCAGTATCTGAAGATCCTGATGATCTAATTTTGCTGTTTGTTTTCTTACTCATGTTGGCCTGTTTCTTTATGTGTTTGATAATTTGTTTTGTTGTGAGCCTTTACAGACCTGGATCAAGGATGCTTTCCTCCAAAAAATATTTGGTCTTACTTCTGCTAAGTCCCTAGGAGCATTTCTAACCCAAAAGCATTTTAATGGATTGGGGTTTCTTATACTGTGCAGGTAGAATAAATCAAATTCCAAACTAGTATGTAGGTAGGCTTATGAATTCAGATTCTTGAGGAAGACTCCTTTTCTCTATCCTGAGCCAACACCAGAAATACACAAGTTTCCTTGCAGTTCCTTTAGCCAGCAGACTTTTCCTGGCACTGGGGTTACAGCAATGAACAAAAGAGACCAAAAAATACCTGTCTTCATGGAGCCCGGCTGAGCAAGTGGGGAGTGGTAGGAAATGATGCTGAAGAAGCAGGCTGGGTCCAGATTACACAGGCCTTTTAACCATGGTGAGCACTGAGGATTTGGTTCTAGGTGTGATGGGAAGTCATTGGAAGGTTTTGAACAGAGGAATGAAATGATGTGATTTACATTTTAAAAGAGCACTCTGGCTGCTGTGTGGAAAAGTCAGTGTGAGGGATCAAGAAGGGAAGCAAGGGAAACAGCTGGTAGGCTAGGACTCTCCTGGGAGATGCTGGTAGCTTATACTAAGATTGTTGCAGTGTACGTTTTAAGAGAGATTAGGGTTATATTTTGAAGGTCAGGTTTCTGATAGGTTGGATATAGGAGTGAGTGGAAGAAAGGGAACAAGGATGACCCCTAGGTTTCTGGCCTGAACACTTGGGTGAATGGTAGTACCATATCCTGAGATGGGGCAGACTGGAGGAAGAATGTGTTTAGGGAGAAAAACCAAGAGGTCCAGTTTGAACCTGTTACGTTTTAGATGCCAATTAGATTAGATATTCAAATGGAAATGTTAAATAGATGAATCTCAAGCTCAAGAGAGAAATTGTGACTGGAAATATTAATTTGAAAATCATCAGTATATAGATGATATAAAAGCCAACCAATGGAATGATATCATCTAGAGTTGTGCTGTCCAATACAGTGGTCAGTAGCTACATGCGGCTTTTAAATTCTTAATTAAAGTTAAATAATATTAAAAATTAATTTCCTCTTTTGCAGTAGCCACATTCCAAGTGCTCAACAGCCACATATGAGTAGAGGCTATTAGATTGGACAGCACAGATACAGAACATTTCCATCTTCAAAGAAAGTTCTATTAGAAGCACTGAGGGAAGGATAAGAGGAAAAAGGATAACATCAGAAAGGAGGGAAGGATAGATGGACAGAAAATAGGGAGGGGGAGAGGGAAGAAGAAAGGGGGAAGGGAGAAGAGGTCCAAGAACTGAACTCTGGGCACTACAGATTTCGAGGAGGAAAGAGTAATGAAGACTGAGAGTGGCCAGTGAGGGGGAGGCAAACCAGAAAAGGAGGGTAATCCTGGAGGCCAAATGAAGAAAGTATTTTGAGGAGGGAATGATCAGCTGTAGGGAATATTGCTGAGAAATCAAGTAAGCCGACATCTGAAAACTGATCAATGTATTTGGTAAAGTGGAGGTTGTCTCTGGTAATCCTGAAAAGGCTTCAGTGTCATGATGAGGCCAAAGCCTGAGTGGAGTGGACTGAGGAGAGAATGGAGGTGAGGAAGTAAAGACAATGAACACTGATATTATCTTCAAGTTTTGTTATAAAGAGGAACAAAGGAATAGGTCTATGGCTAGAGGAGTCCATGAGGACAAGTGACAGCTTGTTGAAATATGAGAGCTATTTATAACCTATTTGAAAATTAAACACAGGAAAACTTTTTAGCTCATTATTTAATTGCGAAGCACACAGGTCACAATTTATTACATGGCTCATACTTCAGAATTTTTCACTAAATGTTCTTTTATTTTATTTATTTATTTATTTTTGTGAGGAAGATCAGCCCTGAGCTAACATCCATGCCAATCCTCCTCTTTTTGCTGAGGAAGACTGGCCCTGAGCTAACATCTATTGCCAATCCTCCTCCTTTTTTTTTTTTCATTTTTCTCCCCAAGGCCCCAGTAGATAGTTGTATGTCACAGTCGCACATCCTGCTAGTTGCTGGTATGTGGGACACCGCCTCAGCATGGCCCGACAAGCGGTGTGTTGGTGCGCGGCCAGGATCCGAACCGGGGCCGCCAGTAGCGGAGCGTGTGGACTTAACCACTAAGCCACGGGGCCAGCCCCCTAAATGTTCTTTTAAAGTCTTAATCAGATAACTAGCCACTACTTTTTTTTTCCTTCTTCCTTTTCTTTATATGGGTTGAGAGAAGGAAAGGTAAAAGCTAGATTTTTCACTGACTTTCAAGTTCAAAACATTTGTCTGTGTCAGTATTTTTTCAGACTGAGAATTTAAGCTTAGGCCAGATCTTTAAAATGGATCTCATACAGAGTCATGTAGATAATATTCAAAAATCCAAAATTCTAATCTTGTCCTTTTTTATTTCTTTAATCAAAAGTAGATTTTTTTTTCACTTAGAGACATTATAGCACGTTTTTCCCTGCGGCAATGTCAAACCGAATCAGCACCTAAAGAAAATTTCCTAAGTTCTCCGAATTAAAAAATAAAACAATCCTAAGAGATTTCACCTTAGAAATGAAATGGGGAAAAAAGAGCTAAACAAAAATCAAACATGGCAAAACATTTGAAATAAAAAGGATAAACAAAACAATAAAATGTTTTAATTTTGGCATCTTCACATTTGTAAATGTGAGGGTGAGCCTACAGATACAGAATTTAAAAGTATTTTTACAAAAGAAAATAATTATAACCTTACCATTCCTAACTTCATGATAAAAGCTATAAAATACCATATTCTATATTGATAAATTAACAGGACTGTGGTAAACCAAAAAGGTATAAAAAGTTGAGTTTCCTATGTTATATATTCTCTCTGGATATGGTAGACATGTGCTAAGTAATTTAAATGTAAATCTTGAAGATAAAGAAATTAGGTTTTGAACACCTATTACTTACCATGCAAACTGTTATCAATTTCAATATTTTCAGACATTATTGAATTATTTGTGCTGTAACTCAGACCAAGAACCATTTGAAGATCTGAGAGATTCAGTCGTGCTGTTAGTTCACCACTTCTATCCCCAACCTACAACCACAAGCATTTATATTTTAGAATAGTACTTAAAGACAAAGAACGGTGAAGATTAGTTGAAAGTGTTGTGAACCTAAAACTGGAAGAAAAGAGAGAATGAAAACAGTTATTATAATACAATTATGAGATGATGAATGAAATGGATTTTTTCATTAATAGTTCTTTTAAGGAATAAAGAAAGAAAAGGGAAGTTTCTAAAGTATGGCAATAGGATAGCTAACTGTATTCTATCAATTCTTTAGTTCTCTAAATATTAGATTGCTCTTAATCTCTATGATCATATTAAATGATAATGTAGGTTATTCTGTGACACGTTAACTTGGATCATGTGAATAAAATGTCCTTAGAATATTTTATTTCCATTCTATAGTAATAGTTAACATTTATTTATTAAGCCAGCATTAGACATTATACTAGGCACTTTTATATACACTATGTCTAATCCTTACAATGATTTGTAAGGTAGATATTATTATTATTCCCATTTACAGATGAGAAAAATGAGGCTCAGAAAAGGATTCCAAGCTCAAATAGGCAGCAAGTGGCAGAACTGTAACAGGAACTAGTCCTTGATTCTAGAAATCATGTTTTTCCTTCCATACCATACTACTTTTCCACGGAGAGATGGGGTATGGTGGAGGCATATTTTAGCAATCTTTCCATTCCCCCATGCCCAGCCTTACCTTCCTGTCCTCCTACATCAAGGCCAGTGCAAACAGACCACTGATCCATATCTCAAAATGCTTTGTGCAGTTCTAATGCCAAGAGAACAACGTATAATTAAATTTATTACTCAGCAATACAGGAGCAATCTAGAGAAATAAGAGGGCTTTCCTCCCTGCTGATTGGTGAATCACAATAGCACAGATAGCAATTTTTTAGTCTCATACCTCTCTTGAAATTTCCAAGTGCTTTTCAGCAAAATGCATCGCTTGATCATGATTTCCTAGAGCTGTGTATGCATTTCCTAAGCTCCAACATGCTCTTCCTTCACCAATTCTACAAAATAATTCAAAGCTAACATGCAGTTATCTGAAAGGAAGTCTGTATGCGGAATAAAAGCTATCTAGCAGGTTAATTAAGGTATAAACACTACTTTGGACTTATTTGGTCTTTCATATAAAGAACATACTATCGAGCTGGCCCGGTGGCGCAGCGGTTAAGTGCGTGCGCTCCACTGCAGCAGCCCGGGGTTTGGATCTCAGGCGTGCACTGATGCACCGCTTGGCAAGCCATGCTGTGGCCGTGTCCCATATAAAGTGGAGGAGGATGGGCATGGATGTTAGCCCAAGGCCAGTCTTCCTCAGCAAAAAAAGAGGAGGATTGGCAGATGTTAGCTCAGGGCTGATTTTCCTCACAAAAAAAAAGGACATACTAACTTAATAATAGAGACATATTAGAATACCCACATAATACTGAACTCAGAAACAAGTATTAGGGCCGGCTCCGTGGCTTAGCGGTTAAGTGCGTGCGCTCTGATGCTGGCGGCCCGGGTTCGGATCCCGGGCACGCCCCAAGGCACCACTTCTCCGTCCAACGCGAGGCCGAGACCCACGTACAGCAACTAGAAGGATGTGAACCTATGACATACAACTATCTACTGGGGCTTTGGGGGGAAAAAAATGAATAAATAAAATCTTTAAAAAAAAAAAAAAAGAAACAAGTATTAAAATGGAAAACATCCTTTTAAAACATGCAATGTTTTATAAAATAATAAAATCTCAGGGATAGGTCTTCTAGTTCAACTACCCCAGTTTCTTTCTATGACAGCCCAACCAGGTAATCATTTGGTCCATGTCTGAACACCTCCCAGAGAGAGAGAACTCATTACCTCTTGAGGCCACATACTTCATTTTTAACAATTGTATACAGAAGTTCTTCTTCATACTGAGGTAAAAATCTATCTTCCTAAAGCAAACATCACAGACTCAAGGCCTGCAGAGATATGCTATTTTTTCATACAGTTAAAAAAAAATTAGCCATTAACATTTAAAAATCAGAAGACATCACATAAAACTCAGGACTTTCAGCTTCTCTTGAAAAAAGAGGAAGATCTGGACATAATGGACCCTTATTCCTGCCTGGCAACAACCAGCTGGAGTTGAGTAGCAACTGTCCCCTTTACATCAGGCCTTATCTCTAAGTTCACCACAATTCCTACACTGACGTAGACAGCAGGACCTGTGAAAATGACTGAGTTTATGACCCAGTTACTGATCTTGGTTCCAGACTATATGGAAGGAATCTAATCCTCTAACACATGCTAGCCCTTCAAACAATAATATACAGAGGATGTCACTGAAACAGAGGAAATTCCTTAAAAGGAATTAAAAAGAAAGCAAAGGAAAAAAACAAACAAGCAACTTAACGGAAAAATTCTTGGGATTAAACAATGTATTATATTTTACTGTAACTAAAGTAAAAAGGTATATAGCTTACCTATCATTTAGCTCTTGAGCAATTGCTAAGTGCTTCAGATGATAATCAATGGCCTTTTCGTAGTCCTGAAGTAAAGTATATGTATTTCCAAGACTGTAGCAAGACTGTGCTTCTACAGCTCTGTCTTTAAGCTGTCGAGCCAATAGTAGTGTCTTTCTAAAAGAAGAAATTAATTCTTACGTAATGATCATTTTTAGTTTTGGCTATAATAAAATAAAACTCTCACTTTTCCTCCTGCCTTTACAGTAAATCTGTCTTAGAGCCTAATATCCCATACTTTCTCCATTACTTTTAGACAAAATGGAAAGATGTCTTTGAAAACACAAAAGGCAAATCCAGACTTTTAGAAGTTGAGAGTCCTATTAATTCTCCAGAGAAAAGGAGTATTGACACAGGAGATCAACTACCTCTAAAGATTAACATTGTTATTTTTAACATTTAAAAAAACTTTCCCTGTTGTAGTGGCAATAACTTAAAGTAAGAGACTTTTGTCCACATAACCTCTTTTCAATCATACTCTTGCCTTTACGTTTTGTCAAAATTTAAAATAGTTAAAATTCTTATGTGTAGGCCATTAATCACTGATTTATGAAAAATATTAAATACTACATTTAAACATTAACCAAATTCTACCAAAACATGTGGAATTGTCAATGAGAAGCTAGTGTGTAGCAGTTAAGAGCACGGACCGCAGAGCTAGAGTGTCTGGGTTCAAATCCCAACTTTGCCAATTACTAGCTCTGTGATTAGAGCAAGTCACTCAACCTCTCTAGGCACTAGTTTCTTCATATGTAAAATACTTCACAGGGTTTTATAAAAATTAAATGAATTAGGGCTGGCCCCGTGGCTTAGTGGTTAAGTGCGCGCGCTCCGCTGCTGGTAGCCCAGGTTCGATCCCGGGCGCGCATCGACGTGCCGCTTCTCTGGCCATGCTGAGGCCGCGTCCCACATACAGCAACTAGAAAGGTGTGCAGCTATGACGTACAACTATCTACTGAGGCTTTGGGGGAAAAAAATAAATAAAATTAAAAAAAAAATTAAATGAATTATAAAGTGCTTAGAATAGCATCTTGCTCACAGATGCTAATAAACGTTAATATTGTTTTGTTATTATCAACACTTAAACCTACAGATGCTTTT